GTTATTGTTCAATTCTCGGTTACAGATGTTCCGGAAAAGTTGAAATCTAAATGGAGTCGCCCGTTTGAAATTGCGAGTGTGACACCCTTTGGTGCATTGGACTTGAAGAATAAAAATGATGAAGTGTTTAGAGTCAATGGTCACCGGGTGAAGCACTATCTGGAAAAAGTTAATGATGGCCACGTAGTGGCAGTGATTCATTTCAAGTGATTAATGGTAATCTACGTCATGCCACAACGTTAAATCAGGCGCTTCTTAGGAGGAAACCCATGTTTATTTTTCTTTTCCTTTTTCTTCTTCTGTAGATAGGTCTTGTTTTGTGCTAACTGGTTTTGAAGTGTGTTGCAGGAATGAGTGTGCTTTACAGGAACTTTGCTCATGAAAAATGGCTAAGTGTGAAAAAGAAAATGTGAACCGCATAATTTTGAATGCCACAACAGAAAGGGATATGCGGCTGCACAATTCTTGTTGCGGTCGCACAACTGGAGATTAGAAATTGCAAACTCTCTGAAGTTGTGCATGTCAGAGAAATGGACAAAGTGCAGCCACACAAGGAAATGTGTGGTCCGCATAAAAATGTGCAGCCGCACTTAAAAATGTGCGGACCACATATCATCAAAAGGTTAATTTGTCACAGGTAAAGAAGTACGGACCGCACACAAAATTGTGCGGCCGCACTCAGCTCTTGAGTCATTGCCCTAACTGGCCAACTATAAATAGTTCCTCCTCACCATTATTCAAAGTTTACGAACTATGAACATTTGACACTAGGGCAAGCACAGTGCACTCCATTGATTCATGCATCTCACTCTCATTTCATCATATTTTATTCTTCCTTGCATCACTACATTACTGATATGTTCAATTCATCATTAAAGTTTTCAATTTTCTTAATTTTGTTCATAATTAGTTTAGTTATTTTTAGGCCTAATGTCAAATTCATCATCATGTGAGCTTAAATTTGAGTGGGTAACTTCCTATTTGCTATTTGGGGGATGGGTAAATTGTGTATCATGTCTAAATTGCTACTACCATGTCTAAATTGTGCATGAATTAGAAACCCTAAGAATGTGCCCGATGAATTTTTGAATTGTGCGGACGCAAAAGGAATTGTGTGGTCAGCAGATCAGAAGGCTAGGGCATTTGGTGTAGAATGATTGTGTGGTCCGCAGAAATTCAACCACGGCTGCAAAAAAGTGTGTGCGGCCGCAGATCAAGCAATTCTCTATCTTCATAGAGTTTTCATTTTTGAAGTTTCAATCTGCGACCGCACCCAAAAATGTGTGGACCACACTTCCCCCAACCTGCATACTATTTGTCTACAACAGTCTGATACTTTCGATTTGAACTATAACTGATTCCTGTTGCTATGTATTGCAAATAATGGTTAGATCATGGGGACGAGGTGATACATCCAAGGGGAGGGGTGAACCTTCCAGAGGCAGAGGCAAAAGCACCTTACCCCCTGCCCTCTAAAAAGTGATCAGTAAGAAGGCAACAATAGGCCAAGGTAGACAGCCGGCGCCCTCCGAAACAAGTTCATATTCCCCGTCCAGGGAAGCATCAGAGGGCAACTCAATGCAAAGGCAGCCTGCTGTGCAATCACAACCACAACTACCCCAGGACAGATACCGACTGAGAGATGAGCCTACCTCTTCTGAGAGTACTTCTGAGGGGTCGGAAGGGAACAGTCATGGTTCAGAACCCTCATCTACTCATGCCCCCGCTGTAGTTGATGATGATGATGATGATGATATTCTGGATGACGGCCGAGGGGGTGATACCAGAGTTATAGGACTAGAGAGGTCAAAGAAGAAAAAAGTTTGGGAAGATATGTTTGTGAGACTAACTGCATTCAACAGGTTCCAAGAGTGGTGGCCTTAGAGATCGCTCACTCTTGAGTGGCAGTTTGGGTTGAAAGATCTGGATAGATACAACCCAAATGTGTTAAGACAATTTCGGGAAAGAAAAGGGTGGAAATGGTTCACGAAAAGCGTATTGGATGCCAAGGAGCACTTAGTCCGGGAGTTCTACGCCAATGTGGCACACATCAAGAAGGGAACTAAGGTGACTAAGGTGAGGAACTTGAAAGTACGATTTGATCAGATCACCCTAAACACTTATTTGGGGCTCGAAGATATGAAGTCGGTGTAATATTTAGAGAAGTTAGAAATGGTTGATACAGCTCGCCCTTGGCTAGCTGAGATACTAGCAGCTCCAGGACCACCACCACTATGGATCACAGTAGCGGTTCCCATTCAGCGGAATGCCCTCGACTTTGAAGAAAAAGGGTGGCAAACATTTGTGTGCAGTCGCATAGACCCAAGACGGAATGAAAATAATCTCCCAATCCCTCGGGAAGTCCTAGTTGCTTCCATCATGGCCTCATACCCAATCAATGTGGGTGCCATCATGTAGGCCAACATGTCTCTGGTTGTCAGGCAGGGTGAAATCTCCTATCCGTATCCCAACACTATCACAGAGTATCTCACGAATACGGGGGTGGAGCCCAAGAACTTTGATACGAAGGTTAGGGATAAGAAGCCCTTCTCCTGGTACTCTTTGAAGGACCCAAGGAACCCGAAAAACAAGGGTAAGTCGACTACTACCGTAGGCCAGTCTGATGAGCCGTCGGTGGTAGTTTCAGATTCAGGAGCCATGCCTTTCACATCAGTCGGGCCTTCTACCGATACAACTGCCAAACCTCCACCTCCATCTTTAAGGCCATCAGTATTAGTGCCTTCCTCCTCTAGTTATCCACTCTCTGCGCTGTGGGTCTCCCAGATACTGGCGAGTCTCAACAACTGGATACAGACAGCTACTACAAAGTTGTCTGACCTGTCTAGTGCTGTTGCAGCTCAAACTTCTACCCCAGCACCCCAGATTCCTCCGTCAGTGGAGGAAACTTTGAAGAAGATATTGGACAATCAGAAGACCATCATGGACACCTTGGTAGCACAAGGGGGAGCAATTGAGGAGCTTAGGAAGCAGGTGAAGAAGATGAGGAAATCTCAGGCTTCGAGGAAATCAATTGACAAATTGAGATGAGAGGTGACCAACATAGAATCCGCTGAAGATCTTCCATTTAACTTACTGATGGAGACATATCCATCAGTACCAGCAGACCCAGCAGCACCAGTGGCACCAGCTGGCCAGTCTTAGGAGCCATACCTCGCTACCCACAATGCTGGGCGGAGCTACAGATGTTCACCAACCCAGCTACTCCCCGAGCAGGAGATGATGAGATCCAGTTGGAGGAGCCTGAGGGAGGTGATGCTGCTATGGACACTGAGACCACATAGGGAGTCATTTATTTTGTTAAGAATTGAGGACAATTGTTGCAACCAAACACACTCACGCAAGTATACGTGGTCGTCAAGTAATATAGTAATGAGTAGAGTATCGTTCCCACGAAGACTTATGATTAACTTTTTACTAACTCAAACTCAAATAACTTATCGATTCAAGCGATTTCTCACAAAATAGATAATTTTGNATTACTTTAAGCGTATTTTCTTCAACACCACTTCAATTTCACAAACAATATCACCCCCCCAAAATAGTCCTTTCTTCTTTAAGCACTACTTTAGTTCATACCTACTAGCAAGAACAAGACAACAATTTATTCATTTCTATTTTTCTTTCCTTTTTTTTTTTCAATTTCCGCTAGTGGTGTAGTATTTTACAAAACAAGTGCACCTTTCTTCCTTTCATTGGTTCCACTCAAAAGACACCCCACACTTAGTCCCTTCTTACTTCTTTTAGCGCTCATCTAACAATTAAAGTACTTTAAGAGGTAAAAGGATCAAAACAATGCCAATTAATAATAAAAAGGTATAGGCTTGTAATGTGGGTACCAAATAACAGGTCTAAAGGCTCAAAAGGGTTAACTAGGGATAGATTTTATTTGTGATAAGCAATTAGGCTCAAAAAGATCAAAGAAAGCCTAAAATCAATTCTCAAACCGAGCATCACCTAAAATTTCGCTTCAACTCACATACCGGGCAAGTTCTAGACACAAGTACAATGACATGGACTACACAAAAAATCTCACCACACATGGCACATGACTCACTAAGGGACGGTCCCATTCCGACTCTCAAATAATGCAAATATTCACGGAGCCACGAGATATTAAGCATTAAGCGCAAAGTGAACACAAGTCAAAAAAATGAGAAATAGTCATCACAAAACATAGGGGAGATACTACACATGCCAAAGCATAAATATGATACTATGAAACAAGTCAAGGGCGCTTAGGTTCATCATTCTTCCTCCTTTTATTTCCTAAATTCCTAATCTACTCGGAAAGAAAAAAAACTACCCGGTTCAAACTACATCCCATTGAAAAGAACCGAGGCACCCATATGGGATTATTACTACCTAAAGAAAGCTAAAAGACATATTTTTGGATTTATTTTTAGACTTTAATCCCTCAAGAAAACTGTCTAGGAGATCAATCGTCGGGAAAAGTCCAATTTTTCTACTTTTTCGTTTTTGTTTTCCACAAAAGCTACTACACTTAAGAATGAGTACTACAACTAAGCTAAAATAGCACAGAAACTCATCCAAACGATCTCCTCACCCCACACTTAAAATTTTGCAATGTCCTCAATGCACATTATAAATAATAAGAGGGTAAACGAGACTCCCTGGTAGGCCAAAGGCCGAAGCAATAGCGGCTCACGAGGTACTCAGACTTCCCCCAGGCATCGTCCTTTGTGTGGGCACCCCACACTTAGTCCTCACCATCTAGCTCGCTTTTGCACTCTTCTAATGGCTTTGCTTCCTATGCTCATAATCCTACAAAACAAAAATAAATACTACAAAATAATTAAAATAAAATAAAATAAAAAGTAAACAAAAATAAAAGAAAGCAGTAAAGCTGGGTTGCCTCCCAACAAGCACCTGATTTAATGTCGCGGCACGACGCAATACGTTCTTCATGCCACCACCAAATCTATCGAGGTCTTGTGACGTGCAATGTCACCACCCCAATATTATTTTACTCTCTGGCCATTTACCAAGAATGTCGCATTGGAACTCGTAACACGTAATTCCACCGCCCCATGAGGTTTCACACTAACCACTTCAAACGGACCCGACCATCGAGATTTAAGCTTTCCGGGAAAAAGCTTTAGCCTCGAATTAAACAAGATAACTTCTTGACCTGGCTCAAACTCACGATGTTGGATATGCTTATCATTCCACCTCTTTGTCTTTTCTTTATACAATTTGGCATTTTCATTCGCATGCAATCGAAATTCATCAAGCTCGTTGAGTTGTAGCAATCTCTTCTCACCGGCCAAGTCCATCTCCATATTTAGCTTTTTAATCGCCCAATAGGCTTTGTGTTCAAGCTCAACAGGCAAGTGGCATGCCTTCCCATAAACCAACATGTACGTAGAAGTACCTATGGGGGTCTTGTATGCAGTGCGATATGCCCATAATGCATCATCCAGCTTTCCGGCCCAGTCCTTTCTATTCTCACTTACTGTTTTCTCCAAAATCTGCTTTACCTCTCTGTCAGAAACTTCTACTTAACCACTCGTTTGGGGATGATAGGCAGTGGAAAACTTATGCTTAACTCCATACTTTGCAAGAACATTATTCAGCAATTTGTTACAAAAGTGAGTTCCCCCATCGCTTATCAACACTCTTAGATCCCCAAAATGTGTGAAGATGTGTTTCTTTACAAAGCTTACCACTACCTTTGCGTCATTAGTAGGAAGAGCAATGGCCTCCACCCACTTAGAAACATAGTCGACCGCCACCAAGATGTACCTGTGCCCATTAGAATATGGGAACGGTCCCATGAAATCAATCCCCCAAACATCAAAAAGCTCTACTGCCAGAATATTTTGCAAGGGCATCTCGTGCTTCCTTGTGATAGTTCCGGTTCTTTGGCATCTGTCACAATTTTTAACAAAGGCATGTGCATCCTTAAACAATTTTAGCCAATAGAAACCTGATTGTAGCACTTTTTGAGCGGTTCTATCCCCGCCGTGATGACCTCCATATGGCGAAGCATGGCAGTCATGCAGTATAGCATTCATCTCTTCCTCAGGAACACACCTTCGCACCAACTGATCTGCGCACTGCCTATATAAAAATGGCTCATCCCACATGTAGAGCCTCACATCATGTAAGAATCTTCTTCTATTATCAGGTGTCAATTCTAGTGGCGTTACCCCACTTGCAATAAAATTAACATAATCCGCATACAATGGGGCTTCACCTGAGGTGACTGCTAATAACTGCTCATCAGGGACTGTTTCTTTGATTGACCCTCCTTCTGCTACATGGTTCCGACTTTCTAATCTGGACAAGTGATCAGCCACTTGATTTTCTGTCCCTTTTCGATCTCAGATCTCTAAGTCAAATTCTTGTAAGAGGAGGACCCAACGAATCAACCTCGGCTTGGCGTCTTTCTTTTGAAACAAGTATCTGATAGTTGAATGATCTGTGTAAACAATGACTTTGGTTCCCACTAGATAGGATCTGAACTTGTCAAATGCCCACACCTATGCAAGCAACTCTTTTTCAGTAACTGTATAATTCATCTGAGATGGATTTATAGTTTTGCTCGCATAATAAATGGAGTGAAAGATTTTATCCCTCCTTTGCCCCAAAACAGCTCTGATTGCTACGTCACTTGCATCGCACATCAACTCAAATTATTGCGCCCAATCTGGGCCAATGATAATTGGTGCAGTCACCAACCTTCCAGCTCCTCGAATGCTTTCAGACATGCATCATCAAACTTGAAGGGCACATCTTTCTCAAGAAGCTTGCACAAAGGAGAAGAAATTTTCGAAAATCTTTAATAAAACGACGATAAAAATCTGCATGGCCCAAGAAACTGCGAATGCCTTTGACGGATGTCGGTGGGGGCAATTCAATCGCCTCCACCTTTGCTTTGTCCACCTGCAAGACACTTTTGTACACCTTGTGCCCCAAAACTATACCTTCACGTACCATGAAATGGCATTTTTCCCAGTTTAGCACCAAGTTCATCTCTTCACACCTAGCAAGTACTTTATCAAGGTTCATTAAACAAGTATCAAAAGAACATCCAAACATAGAAAAATCATCCATGAACACTTCTACAAATCTTTCAACCATGTCAGTAAAAATAGCCATCATACACCTTTGAAAAGTCGCAGGTGCATTACAAAGACCAAAGGGCATTCTCTTGAA